GTCTATTTTTTGTTTACAAGACTGCTTATTTTCCCATGCAAACATTCAGGGCTGTTTTTGTATTTCCTTATTATCTTGCTTCTTTGCAAATATTCTAGAGTTCACAAATCAGAGTCTGAAATCCGGGGCTAAAGGGCATGAAGACGTTTCCTGCTTAACAAAACTACAAGTAACCAAACAGTTGATTTTATAATTACAAATCAATAATGGCATTCTGTATTACAGTTCTTCATTCTTTTGGAATAAATGATCTCAAATGAACTTGTCCAACTATCTAAGTCATGACAATCAAAAGAGTATTATAGGGTTACAGGGAGGAAATCTCCACTATTTTAAGAAGATACTACCATACCACAAACAAGCATATTTTTGTTATAATGAAGCTGTTTTTTCTGTCTCTTTGACCCTTGCCTTTTAAGGTTACAATTAATGATATAGTTTATAAAGACATACAGCGCAATCACAATTAGACCTAAAACAGTTTTAAATTACACAATCACATTATACTGCATTCTTACATAACTGTTTCTTCTAATCTAGAGTGAAGGAATAAATAGATTTCAAAGTATGGGTAACTCTTTGAATCTCATTTTCTCAATCTCTTTTTTTAAAAATAAAACCAATAAAAGTCATAGTCTGATTTTTTTCTTTAAGGAAAGAAAAATGAAAGTTGTTCCAGAGAGGGCTATATCTATTTCTTAACCATCAGGCATTTTGCAATGGCATTAGCAGGAAACACAACTGTTACAGATGCCATTAACCAATCAACAAATCAATTTGCAAGCTGACCACTGTTTTCCTTTTGATGAATTTGTGTAAAGCTAGGAAACTAAGATGTAGTTAATAAATCTTAGACTCCTCTCCTCCTCCTGCCTGCACATCTGGACCCAGCCAGAGATATTATCCTTGGTTGGTTGTTTCCCTCTGTCTCTTCCTGCAGGCAGCAGTCTGCTTGGACAGCTTAAGAACCAGCTGTAGCGTGACAGATAGAACCAGGATGGGGAAAGAATGTCTCTTAATTTTGCCAAAGATTTTGATCAGATGGTCCTCCTAGAGAAAAAAAAAAAAACATTGCAAGTCCAGCCATACATTTTGTACTAGAAAGTGGTGGAGGTGGTAGAAATAGGCTGCTGCACAATCCTTCACATGTCTCTGGTGTCACTGAATTCAAGGGTGCTTATTCCCAGCTAAGCATATCTCTGATTATAGTGCTCAAGTGTTGAAGAAAAGGGAAGAAGAGAAAGCAACAGCTTCCTTGAGGAGTTTTGCATTGCCTTAGGACTCCCAAAAGGCTGCAAGAAGTCTTAACATGAACTTCCAGTCAGTTTTTAATGCCAAGAGGATCTGCTGATGTCTCTTAAAACAACCCAGAAGGGCAAATGGAAACCAGTTCAGTCAAAGTACATTACACAAAAAATATTTACTGCCCTCCTCCATGTCAGTCTACAATCCTTCTCCTCCTCGTTGCTCATTGAAGATGAGCAATATGATCTGACTTGTTGTGGGGGTAGAAGAAGGCTTGGCAGGGGTTTGGTGAAGACTGCTATTTTTCTGCGTTCCAGACAGCGGATGCTGGCATTGCTAATCATGCAAAACCAGAGTTTATTTAACAGTGGTTTCTTGATTCAGCCCAAGTTGGTTGACTTCGCCCAATGCTGTAGACCAAAGCACAATGAACCACACTATATGGTTCATCACACATGAACTAACCAATTTCCTTGATGGCTGGATGCCATTCATTGACTGGTTGATCATCAGTGACCCAAGTGTGAATTCTTCTGGTCTATCTACCTCTGATCAGAAATTCCTGTATCTCTGGGTTCATTTAGCAGCTTTTTAAAAGCCTTTGCTTATTTTTATGGTTTAGTTCTCAAAGTTAGATCTTCTGATGTTCTGAATTCACAATATCTAGAGACAAAAGGTATCCAAAGAACATCCCAGTGGAGGTGTTTAAGGTGCTCACTTTTTAATCCCAATCTACTCCCAATACATTTTCTTATAAGGCTGCCTTTGAAGATCTGACTGTACACTCGTTTACTCAAAATGTTACATCTCTTATGAATATTTTAATCAAAATGATCCCTTTGATCATCGTGGAATTTTCATAAATCCATACATGATAAGTCTTTTACAATAATGATTATTCTCCCATTTTGGGAAGATGCACTGGGCTACCATTCCTAGGCAGCAGAGCTGGGAATGATGGGAATTGCAGCCTGTCACATTCAGAGTGTACTGGATTGGGGAAGGGTGTTAGAACACAACACCTATTGACTGTCCTATGGATTCCACTACCTTGCTCCTCTTTTAGAGAGAATGTTTATGTTACATACTCATATTTATAATGGTGCATGCCTTTTTAGGCCTCAGCAAGAGGACCAGGGAAGGGAAAAGGAAAAATCTGAACTTTGAAAATGCACTATCCTGGGCTTCTGATTAAGAAGGTGCTTAGTGAAGAATTGGCAAAGCAGAGGCCTCTCCTGCCTCCCTACAGCTTCCCACTCTTTTTCCAAGGCAAGATTGAAGAGGCTGATGTATGAGATCCCAGGCTGTTACAATAGGCCTCCTTCCACCAGCAACCTTTTGCTTCACCAGCAAGAGAAGTCCTTGAAATCCACTATATGGAAGTGCCTCTTTTTTTCCTCTGCAGCAAGTAAAGACAGATACTATGCCTGGAGAGAGGAACAACTGAAAACATGTCTTGATGTCAGGATGGGAGAGGGGGAAGCCTTGTTGCACGTTATTTGGATGTCCAGCAGGCCCAGATTAATGTAATACTGCAATGAAAAGAATTCATCAATGCAAATAGTACTATGAAAAGCACTTTCATGCACTGAGAAATGATGATTCTCAAATGCTATATAAAAAGCAAGTTGCCCCCCTCAGTGATTCACTGGCTTGGTCATAATGGGTCGAGTGACAGCAGATTGAGACACAGTTGTTCACACAAGAGAAAGGGACTCATCCTTCATAGTCTACTTAATGGTTACTCACCATTAAACAACAACATATGGCTAATTAATAGGTGCGGATGTCATTCATTTCAATAATTGGGCCTCAATCTAGAAATTATATAAACAGATTTTCATACAGTATCATCTTCCATGATTATATAATCCTGGCATTACTATTTGCATGAAAAAGCCAACAAGAGACTGATTAGCAGGGAGCTGTAAAGATCTTTGAGCAAAGAATGTCCAGTCCAGACACCCCAATTTATATCAGCAGTACTTTTTACTGATACACAAGGATGTTAAGCACTAACTTTAGAAATATGTTTTCTTCCAACAACAGGAATAATGGGACTTACTTACAGAGGATGATCTATCTGAGAGACAAACGTCAGTTGTGATTAATTGATACATGAACCAATTAGAAGTCAGCCAGTTAATGTTATGGTTTAAAACTTCTTATCTGAAACCAGGAGACTGTGACTTTTAGTCTTGCCTTAGGCATAAAGCCAGGTGGGTGACTTTGTGTCAATCACTTTTTCTCAATGCTCTGAAGAAGGCAAGGTCAAACCTTCTGAAAATGTTCCAAGAAAACTTCAAGGCCTTATCCCGACTGTGCCAGGAGTCAATATTGAGTTGAAGGTACAAAACAAACAAACAAAACCTTATAAACATCAACAGAAAATCCCAACAGCCCTTTGTAGACATAGCTAATGTTTAATTTATGAGTTTACTCCAAACATAACATTATGAATCAGTCTTGGTACTAATATCCTGTTTATTTTCTCCCAACATTCATTAATTTGACCATGAACTAATCAGATAAATTGCAAATATTCTGAAATATTACTATAACTGATCATAGATCCTCTTCAGCCTTTCTTTCAGTTCTGTCAGAGGACAATCCTATATCCATAAATATTTAGCAATAAATCCTACTGAACTCTGAAGAATTTATACTAGATTAAATCTATAGAGTTCTCATACTAGTCTGTGGGAATCAATTCCTTGGACTGGCTAGGAGAGAAGCTTGGAGAGAATGGGAAAGCTGCATTCCCTTTGTAGTTTGTGCTTCCTTGGCATTATTAAGATGTGTGAACTTCAAGTCTCAGAATTCCCTTGCCAGCCACTCATGTTCTCTCTCTCTCTCTCTCCCCCCACCCATAATGAAAGGCCATTTAAAAACACGACCAGTGCATATTACTTAGTCAGCCGTACACTTTGGTTTACAAATGACATTGGATGTTTAGTTGTAGATTTCTATAACTCTCTCTGATACAGTTAGGGCCCAATTTAAGACATCTTCACCACTGTCCAACATTGCATTCCAAGATCTACCTGCAAGCTGATCGAATGCAGGATATCATACATGGGCAGCATCCCAACCGCCTGGTAATGCAGTAAACGCGGGAGGCGGGAGAAGGCCCTTCCCACTCGAGAGGCCTACAGAACCCCGGTTTTCTTCCTCAGTCTCGGCAGAGGCAGTTTTCCCTTTGCATGTAAAGCGGGGCCCCGCCTTCAACTCTGCCCCGCTTGGCTCCCCTGCCTGCTTTAGAGCAGCGCTTCCGTTCGAAATGCCCAGCAACTCAGCGGCCCTTCCCCTACATTTCGTCGGGCTGTGTGAATCCTCTTCCCTCGGCCCTGGTCAAGTAAAACCAATCGTGGCCACCGTGCATAAGAACGACCGGCGGGTCTTCAACGGACGGACTCCGTCGTGCTTCTTTCCCTTGGGCTTTTTCGTAGGGGGAGGGGGGGGTCGCCGGAGCTCCTTTGCTTTGGGAAAGCCAAGCAGGAATGGAAAAGCAGAGAACTGGGGCCGTTCGGCAGGACTTTGCCAGGCTCTTTTGTGGTTCCCACACAGTAACGTGTGCAGGCGGCATCTGGGTCTTGAGCCACAAAAGGCAACGGTTTTCCCAAAATAAGGCTAATACCGCCCCTCCCAGCCCAGCCACAGCGGCCGCTCGCTTTCCCCGAGAATGGGTCACCCCCGCGGCAGTTCCGCCCGCCGCAAGCGCGCCACCCGAAGGCGTGCTTTGGAGGCCTGTGGAGCGAGGCCCCGCGTTTGCGGAGTGAAAACGGCAATTAGGCCTCGCAATTAGCTCGATGCGACGGAATCTTCAATGCGGCGTCTGAAGTGGACGGAGCTTTTCAAAATATCCGGAATTATGGAGGTGAAATACTGGGTTAAGGAGATTATTGAAACACCCGTACTTCAAAAATCAAAGGAAAATCAGGCTTGGCCTCCGTTGACAGACTGGAGGCGATAATTAGCCCTTGTTTTTCATAGTGTTCCCAGGAAGTGTGGGTGCTTGTGTTTTATTTTCCGGGGATATTTGAATACATTTTTTATTAGGGTTGTTCGGGGGAGGTATTGTTTTCAGTTTGTAAACCGCCTTGGGAATACTGTGGCTTTTGGAAACGGGCTGGGAATCATTTCTCATTTTTTAAAAATAACCATGTGTTGAAAAAACGGCCTAATTGTTTAATACAGTAAATATTATCTCACCACCAGAGAACACAATCTAGAAAGTATGAGTCTTCCCCCCCCGCCCCCACTTTGGAATTAATGGGCCAGCCTGGACCAGCGATACTAACAAAGTTCAACAGATGCAGCTTCCTCACAGACCCTGCTAGGAAGGGATTTTAATTTTTTTGCAATTCTAACCTTGGGGAGGGGGAAAAAGGGACATGGTGAGTCCCTAAAGAATATGTAGCGTTCTTCTTGGGAGAATATATGGTTATTATGAAACATCTTTTTATGTAGGTGTGCTTATGTGTGTGCATGTGAATAGGAGAGAGTGACTATTATAATCTTAAAACAGGAAGGGGTGGCCTTAGCAGAGTGAAGTAGTTATCACAGCTGACAAATGTTGGAAATTGTGAAGTTACTCTGCGTGTGAAAATGCCAACACAGCAGCCCTGACCGTATGATCAAAGCTCCTTCTTTTTATCTGTATTCCATGCAGTTGGTACATTTTGGGATGTCACTGTTTGCATTAATTTTGTTTGTCAGGAAGTAGGATGCCAGGCACACAACAAATTTAGTTAATATGAATAATATTTCTAATATGATCAAAATGGGTTGGATAGAATTGGAAAATAGAAAAAGTTATTGTTTGAAACTGCAAGCTGGAATAAATGGAAGATTTATAATTTTGGGGAGATTTTCTTTCTGGGTTATTAATATATGGACTCAAACTGTCATTCCCACCCAAATTATACTTTAATAGAAATAAAATCCCATTGGTTGTAGTCAAACAACATGCTCACCCATCGTTAACTAAGCTACAGTTTACTTAAGTCATCCAGTTTTCCCACCCTCTGACCTGTTCTTCCTGTATTGAGCTAAATACATAGAATACCTTAGGTTCAAATTTGGCTAATTTGTTGGCTCAGTCCTTATGCAAAACTAGACTATTGTGATTGACCAAAATAATACTGTAAGCCACTTAGAGATGAATAAATTCATGTTTTCCCTCAATGGTAAAATAACAATATGGGCTAGTACACATTTTTTTTAGTAGATTTAGTGAATTACTGGATTTAAATATGCAAAGGATCCAATATCTTTATATCTATATTTTGTACTTTAGGCACTAAAATCTACAATCTAGACTTATTTTGTAGAATTGATATTGACTCAAATACTTCTAAAAATACTGTTAGAAAGATTGCATTGCAAAATGGAAACCAGTCCTTGATTTATAGAGAAAATCCCTCAGATGTGCAGGGCTGCCTGTACAATTGAGTAGCATGAAGTAGACAATTGGCTATCTTGATGTCTTGATAAACATCATTATACAGATGCAAACAAGCAATTGTGTATTATCCAGTATATCCAGCCCACATTGTTTTGCTGAGAAAGTTTAAACATGACCAGATGTTATTAATTATTACCGCAGAGACATTTCACAGAGAAGTTGCTTCCTCTCTCATGGTTTAGAAGATTGTTAGATCTAGCACAGTTCAATTCTTGTTATTCTGTACAGATTTATGACTTCTTTATTCTCTCACCTAGTGGGTTGTTCTTTGATTTGTGATGTTCCTAATCATATACTGAGATATAAATATTGTATATAAAAAAGCTTCTTCTGGTATTTTTCTCCTGATTTTACATATCTACTCTTCTTCACAAGCAGCAACCCAAAAGCTAATTAGAATCTGCTGTCATAATCTGTGAGGAATCGGATCCAAATTAATGCAACCTAAAATCACTTAACTTCACCACTCAGTTAGACTCCCCCTTCCTTATAATCAAGACTCAGCAGCAAGGCAATTCAGTGATAACAAATCGTGAATACTCTGCCCACAAAATGAAGACCAGATGTCCTGGTCTCTTTGGAATTTATGAAGGTGAAAGTATGGGCAAAGACCATCCACAGAAATATTGAGTTCTAGCACTGTTGGCCTTCCCTGCTTTTTAAAAATACACTTTTCCAGATTGGGTATCCACATGAAACACTGCGTAGCTTCAGGTCATTCTTCTCTTAGCTTGGTAGACTGCACACTTTGCAAAATTTGCAAAAACAAAAAAGTTGGGCATGGAGAGATGGGAATGCTGAACTCTTTGGAGAGTTCATTTGTATTTTTGTCAGACATAAAAGGGGGAAAGAAGGAGAAAGGGACATTCTGGAACACTGAGATAGCTATAGGCCTAAGTTAATTGGCAAAGAATTATTTGCTGCTTCATTCTGGCATTTGAGCTTTTTATAGATACCTACATTCCATCCTATGATTTTAAGTATACAAGAGAAATGGATTTTTTTTTGTCTAAAAAGATGTACATTTGAAGTTTGGATTCATAGAGGCTGTATTGGTTGGTCAAGGAAGATTTAAATACATGCACACTTACAGAGGTATGCATGCCACACACACAATTGGGATTATTTTTCCTACCTGTTTTGACTGAAGCAGCTAGTTTGAACTGTTGGTTGTTTAGCAGTGTTGATGTTTAAAATATATTCATTTAATGTTGTGTTGAATTTTGCCTTATGGACTCCTATCACTTTCAGGGAAAAACCCATGGCTGTTGCTGGGACTTCTGATGATGGCTGCAAAGCAAAGCTGACAAATCAGCTGTTTGTCTGTGCACCTTCCTGTGCTAGGCTCTTGTCCTTTGTTCTCCAGACAGAAGAATGGCTGCCTTTTCATGTCTCTGGATGCAGTTGGCACTTGCTGGAGTTGAGCAAAAACAGGGGAAAAGATACTTGGGGTATATAGTGAATGCTTCAAAAATAGGCTGCATGATGGTGTGGCATAGCTTACTCTTCATCAAGAGGTTCCCCCTACCCCCCAAAAAAATCCCCCAAAGAGACTTCTAGTTCTTTTTCCAGCTTCTTGAGAATTTCTGTTCTATTGAGCATTTTAAGCTCACCTTGCTACCGGGGAGGAAACTATTCTTGCTGGTGGCAGTATCTTTCCATCACTCTGAAGTCTAGCTCCCAATTTGAAAAAAAAAATGCAAACATGACACGTACTCCAATGATAGTTTCCTTAAAACCTATTTAAATATAGAAAGCCAGGGAGTTTCAGACTGCTTGACATGAACAGAGAAAGATAAGACATTCACACATAATGCCAAGGGTGTCTAAGGGGCGAGGTCCAAAAAGGCAAAGTGATGTGTATAATTGTGCAGTTAAAGATCTGTTTTACAAACATGTGACACATATTAACAAGGGGTGATGCTTTGATCATGCCGTCATTGTTTTGACTTCTTTGAACCCTTTGTTCTGCCCTTCCATATCTCTTGGTCACCTTACGATATAACTGAGTGAATGCTAAATTACGTGCACATTCCATCAAAATGCTCTTTTCCTTTGAAATACATTTTGAAAGCAAATTCTCTTTAATCAAATTGAAAGAGAACTGTTGAAAAAAAAAAGCAGGATTTCTTTTTTCCTACTTGGCTCTAGATATATTGGTTACTGCCAGACTAGCTGGGTTGATGAGTCATAAGTGATTATTTATTTCATGCATGTTACAGGTGAAAGTGATAGAGGGGCAGGTCTGGGGATGTAGGCAGAAAAAGATGACACTGGGAGGCCGAATAAATCAAAATGCACTTAATCCAATCAGCCAGCAATCCAGTTGTGTCCTGCTAGTATTCCTATTGACACATGACTATATTAACTAGAACAGTGATCAGCATGTTGGCAATAAGAGGCCCTGTCTACATTGGCAATAAGAAGCCCTGCCAGGAAGTGCCTAGCATGCCATGAATTTGTCTCCCAGGAAAGTATTCACGATATTACTAGCTCCCCATTGGTGAAGCAGGCAACAATGGGTGTGGAAAACAAAAGTAGGAAAAAAGGAACAAAAACTGCCCAAAGCAAATAGTATACTAAGCTTTGATTCAAAGAAAATCTTACTGCACCTTAACTTTCCTTCCTATTGTCTTCCTTTTCAATAGCGTCCTTCCCTCCACACCAATCAGAGAAATTCATTTCCTGATCCCTCATGAAGCAATAGTCAGCTGCATTAGCGATAGAAAGAAGAAAGTAAACTGGACACTTTCTTAAAAGGCAGGCTGGACAGAGAGCTGAGAACCTGGGGAGGAAGGTGTGAAGAGGCAGGAGAGAGGTCTTTAACAGAATAAAAAGAGGGGAAGGAAAAGGAGACAGAGAAGAAAGAAAACAAAGGCACCAGTGGGTCTTGTCAAACAGCAGACTTATTCTGTAAAGAGTGGGAAGTGTTGTTCTTCTGAATAGAAGCAATATGCAGTTCATAAAGTCTGTTCATGCAGTGTTGTTTTTACATCTTCAATTTTTCATAATCAACTGATCCACCAAGTACAACAAATGAGAGATTATATAATAAAACTTTCTGCTTCATCCTGCATACGTCAGATGCTATAATACCTGAAGAAAAGCTTAAGAAAAGAGATATATAAACCTTTGTCTCAAGCTCCATGAACAGGAAACAAAGCCTTAGTAAAGAGGAAAAAACAGCAAAGGTGACCACCATCCATAATCACAAGCCCCACAGCTGCATAAAACCATAGGAAGATGCAGTAATTCCAAATAAATCTATAATTATTTTAGATTGAAGCTGTCTACTTATCATCCCAGCTCCCTGGTTTTAGACGTTTGCATAGCATACAGAGTCTGCTGCCTATTATCCACTTCAGTATGTCATGGAATATGTATAGAGACTTGGGAATGTCTGTAATGTCTAGGAAGGCACTAGAGAGGATTTGGGAGCATGGCCAAATTGATTTCACCCTGGGGTGGGCCAGGCTGTTTTTTGAAAATAGTCCTCAATTGTTCATTTAACAGCAGTTCAAAGTTACAACTGCCTGGGACACAGTGATTTACAATCTACCCTTGCGCTTAGAATCAGTGTACCGCCTCTGTGGTCACATGATCACAACTTGGCCACTTGGCAACCAGCTTGCATTTATGACTGACTAAAGCATCCTTTGGTCATATTATTGCAATTTGTGACCTTTCCAGCAATTTTCTGCAAGCAGCAATAGTTGAGGATGCTGAATTTGCTTAATGACCATGGTAAAAACAGTCAGAAAATCAAGTCTGGTCACATGATCAATCACTTTACAACTTACACTTACACTGGAAATTCCAATCCCTATTGTGCTCATAAATTGAGGAGTGCCTGTAGTTATTTATCTCCTTGTTTGTTATTGTTTTTACTGAGCAGTTCTTTGCATTGTGGCTAATTCAATAACATTACAGCCCTAATTTAACCAAGCCTCTGCATTTGATTTCTTTCTTTGTGAGTATAGTTGCAAAGTAACTTAGACATACATTGTAAAACTTTGTTAACAAAACAGGCTAAAAGGGATACTGACTCAATTCTGACTCATGAATGCCAACCATGTTTTATTATTCATTGAATCATTTCATGATATGTATGTTTTAGGTTTTCCCTCTCTGGAAGGAAGACAAATATCCTTTCTATATGCACGAGTTTGTGTTCACAGTTAATTCCTTTAAAAATACAAGGTGTCAACTTTAGCATAAAGCAAACTTGAAGGAAAAATTAAGACTTCAATAGTCTTTCTTTCCCCCAAAGTTTATTGTTTCCTTTGAATCAGGCTTGCACAGTCTGATCTTGAATTGGCTGGCCTCTTGCAAATAGAACTGATTCTGAAGCTATATCCAGCTGAGGAAAAACATTGCCATTATTGAGGTTTTCACCCTGTTGGGGAAATACACTTCCCCCCTCTTTTGAAGAAGTTGGCATAGGTATGCACTAAATGATTTCCATATTTTAGGTGCATATGAACATTGGTAGATTGAAACCTTGCCTTAAAAAAATCTATTTGATTTTTTTGACTGTTCCAGAAATGCTATGATCATATTTTTCAGCACCCTGATGTATTCATTTTAAAATTAAAGCATACTTAGAAAAATGGAAGAAAGAAATGTGGAACACACATTTTGAATAAATTGTGGCTTAGAGTGTTCTGTGCATTAAGGTTAATTAAACCTTCAAGCTTTGCGTGTTAAAATAAATCCTATTTGTTATTTCTGTAGAAGTAGTGAGGATGCAGAAAAATCTTTGGAAAACTATGAATTCTTACTATCAAAATCTACCCTATCCAAAGAGTTAAACTAGACCCTGTCCATTTCATCATCTAAAAATTGGTCAGCAGAACAGTGTTGGTATTTTTGTACTACCCTAAATTATATAAACAAGGCCTATACTAGAAAAAAGCAAATACCGAAAAATAGACAACAGAACTGCTAACTCTGTACAATGTTCTTTGAAACAGCTGTTGTAGCTTCTGTAGGCTATAGCTTGGTTTTTAGATAATTCTAGCCAAGTTCTTAAGTTTTCTCTCCCGGTTGAAATTGCAACTGCAGAATTAAAGGTTTTGGACTCTCTGCATAAAAATATTAACATTGTACAGTTAATTTTTGTTTCCAGAAGGAAGGACAAAGATGGTACCAGTTATTTCATCACTGGTTGGCATTTGATTTTTTTAAATACTGATGATGAGGCATGTCTACCACCTCATTTTCAAGGGACAGTTTAGGCCATATAAATTAGATTGCTGGAGACATAGCATTATCCCCCCAACGTAAATATTTAATAATTAGGATCAGAAATGTTAAGAGGATTTGAAAGTCTTGTTCAAAATCTTGAACTTGATGGACCTTCAGGCACACACTTTGATTTATGATCAAAATGCCAAAAAGAAACAAAAAGACCAAAACACTGCCTTACCAGCAATCAACACCCAGATGAGCAGAGATTAACACCAAGATTAACATTAGATTAACGATCAAGAAGCAAGCAATACTTCAATCAAGGAACTACCAAACAAGCTAACAGTAAACAATAGCTCAGTCAAGGAACCACCAAGATCACTCCCACCAATATTGAAATGGCAAGCCACTGGTATATAAAATGAGAGCAAATTCCACTCCCTACTAGCCCTGATGTTGCTACCTAGTTTGGTAATATGTCTGCAATAAAACAACCAAGGTCAGAGAGTAGCAAAGACCCCACAGTTACAATCTTGTCTATGGTTATTTGCTTAATTCAGCAACTGTGCAACCTTGAGACAACACCTAGCTGTGCTGTATTTTGGAAGCAATCCCTATTTTGTGCATTGTGAAGTAAATAATACCCTACTGACGTTTTTAATTTTTGCGGAGTTTTAAAATAAGCATGTTGAATGCAGGAAAAAGAGTTTTTAAAATGCACCCACAGCCTGCATTTTCCATCTTTCTAAAAAGTTGTATTTCTATGCAATTTTAAAATCATTCCCCTGAACACAGGAAAAAATGAACTTTTTAAATTGCAGCAGCCCCAGAATGATTAACTTAATTTTAACTCCAACCCTAATCTTATATAGATTCAAATAAGGCCTGAGTGAGACGAAAACTATGGCAGCTTTATTTTTTATAAAAATTAAATAAACATTGCTTGCAAATTTATTATACGTGCACAAAATTTGCTGAGAGCAGATTTTTTTTAATTATGTTGGATGTTTTTTTAAATTTTATTTTACAGACAGTTTGAAAAGAGCAATTATTTAATATTTTAAATTAAACTGATATAAACGATTCTCTCTTGCATAATTGTTCCAATCTCTTCAACTGATCTTCTGATTGCCTACAATGCAGGAAGCAATCGCACGGAACTTAAGAAATTTCTAGTTGGTTTCTCAAACAGGGTATCTTAAAACTGTGGATTTCTTGAAATAAAGCAAGTAATACTTTTATTACTGGGCTTACTAGGTACCACAATAATGAGAGGTATCCCTTCTCTTCATATTTGCAGCCACATGAGATCATTCTCAGCCGGTGTACTAGGAATTTACAAGTGCCTGCATATGGAAGTGGATCTTGTTCAGGCTTTGCATGCTTCTGGGCTAAATCTTACTATTTATAAAAGCTGTTAACAATAATGATGTATTTTAAAATTAAAATGAGAATGGATATGATATAAGCCAACAGGTAATTTTACTGCATTGCTTTTGACAGTGCACACCATCATGAGATCCTATTAGGAAGAAGTATGAATTAGTCTATGATTTTAGAAAGCATATAAAACAAAAATAGAAATGAGATGGTTATCTCTGGTAGAATAGCAGCTGAGAAAACAACCATGTGATATTGGAACTATAGATGTTATTCAGGCTCCCTTGCAATTCTTAAGTTACCTTATTTGTTCAAAGGTGATAGAAGACAGTGTCCCGCTATCAATGTTGGAATAAGTTCTTCTGGATAATGTTTGAATGTATTATGGATATAAGAACCATTTTATACTTTGCCTCAGATAGCAAAGTCTTCTGGTTGCTCTGAATAATTTACACATCAGAAGAAAATTTGAGAAGGAAGAAAATCTTGTATTACAATTTTTAAGTGGGAAGTATTACACTAGTCTTAAAAGTTCTGACCTCCCGTATAAGAAATTTCAGGATCTGCTGGATGACTTCCTTCCCTAGTCTATCTTGAGACAGGATCTCCTTGTCCCATATTCCCACACTTCATCTTTGAGAAAAGGAATCTATTAATTATGATGGCAGAGTTCATTTCTTAGCAGCAAGGGACTTCCTCTTGAAAAGTGCCCTCCAAAAGTCCTGAGGGAAAGCAAACACTATTCAGTTTCACTTCCATGTCTCTCACTTGTGACACTTGGGTTTCCTCACCAGAAGTCATTACAGTGATTTGAAAGCTAGGTTTTAAACTAAAGGGTTTGAAGTGAAGCGTTTTTAGCCACTGATAAAGTTGTAGCAAAAAAGTTATAGATGTAAATATCTTTCTCTTACAGGTATTAGCTTCCTGGATTTAAGTTGTTGGGATATTCACAATTACTAAAACATCAGCAAAAATGCACCCATATTACAAAGCAAGCAGAATCACCTTTTTGTCAGAGTCAGCTCTGGTGGCCTTGCAGTTCCCAAATGTTTTACTACAAAAAAATCATAGTTGGATGTGTTTATCCAGCCCATTAGTTCAAGATGCAGAACAATACAGTCCATTATTCAAAACCCCAGCTGCTTGCAGCTTGTTGACATTCATCACTGGTTGTGCTTTACACCAATGTGAGATCAAATTATTATTGCCCTCACATCTTGTATGTTTTGGAAAGTAATATGAAAGATAACTTTGAGGTGGCCCCACAATGGGGAAGCAGTAACACTTCATTGAAGCTTGTGAACATTCCAACCGGATTTACACAATTACAGATTATCATCTTTTTTTTTTACAAGTCATTTCAGCCTGATTCAGAAGCTAATATTTTCCTCCAAGGCTGTTCATTGTCCTGTGTAAATGGTTCCCTTCTGATTCGAATCAGTTTCAGTTTGGATCATCTGATGATTTGATGAGATGATTCAGTTTTGCAGTTCTAGGTCAGTTCAGTTCAGTTCAACAATTCAGTTGAAGCAGTTTTGAATCAAACCCACAGGTGGAAGTTTCACACAGCTGAAAGTCCTGCTGTATGGCATAAATCAACTTTTTGTAACACCTCTCAAGCTGGAAGGAAGGAAGGAAGGAAGGAAGGAAGGAAGAAAGGAAGAAATCTTTCTTGCTATTCTGCTCAAGCATATGTAAATAGGTATCTTTTTTTTTTTAGTAAACTAAAGCTTTTACATTCAAAATTTATTTCTCCATAAATAACATTTCAAGAAAGATACCACTTATTCAGTGCTATCACAAATCTGAATGGTTGCTGAAAGAGTCATCTTTAAATGAGGACCAGCTGCATAGCTATTTTCATGGAGGAGATTGTCTTGAAGTACTTTATCTACTGTCCAAGTGTTAACTGTGGATGGTCTATTTCAAGGCCTCCCCTCTTCCTTTATATTGTTCTTTTAACTTTAAAGAAGAATTGGGACCTTCTAATAAAGCAGTGGTTCTCAACCTTTTTAATCCCGCGACCCCCAACTGGTCATAAGTCAAGGACTGCTCAACCGGTCGTAAGTCGAGGACTACTCAACTGGTGCAGCACTGCTTGCAGAATGGGACTTTTGGCGAGCTCAGCAGGGCAGAGACAGCCTGGACAATTCCTATTGGCTTTTGAAAGCCAATAGAATTAGACTCTATTCAAGAGAGTCTATTCTATTGGCTTTCAAAAGCCAATAGAATAAAAGAGAGTAGCACAGCTAAAGAAAAGGGGAAAAACATGGCGGACTGTGTTGTTTGGCGACTCCCATGAAATGTTCGTTCGACCCCAAATGGGGTCCCGACCCACAGGTTAAGAACCACTGTATTAAAGGATATCTTTGAAGAGTATTATCTAACAGCTGTTCAAATAGAAGGCTATTGCGTATGGAGGAGGACCCATGGCTGTTCTAGATCATTATGCTGTGACTCCAAATATAGGTAGTCTTCGACTTACCACAGTTCATTTAGTGACTGTTCAAAGTTACAACGGCACTGAAAAAAGTGACTTATGACCATTTTTCACATTTATGGCCATTGTTGTATCCCCACGGTCACGTGATTTACATGTGGATGGTTGACAACTGACTCACATTTATGATGGTCGCAGTGTCCCATTATCACGTTTTGCAACCTCATTGACAAGCAAAGTCAATGAGGAAGTCAGATTCACTTAACAAACGCATCACTAACTTAACAACTTCAGTGATTTATTTAACAACTGTGGCAAGAAATGTCATAAAATGGGCCAAAACTCGCTTAACAAATTCTCGCTTAACAACAGAAATCTTGGGCTCAGTTGTGGTCATAAGTCGAGGACTATCTGTTAATGCAAACAGCTGCAAGAGATCTTCCCATGGTAACCTCATGGGCATGCTGGCAGTTTGAGCAGGCTATGCAAATGTTCACAAGCTGTGCAGGCCGGAGAGTGAAAATGGCTGTTGACGCACAGGCTTTCACTAGTTCAGCATATATATTGGAGGTTGGCAGAACTGGAATGTGATTATAAGTCAGAGGTACAATTTTCTCAGCTGTCATGCTCGCCATTGCTAATGATGATGTCTTATTAAAATGCAATACAAGATAATAACTAAAGATTGTTATCAAACTATAGGAAGCGAATCTCCCCCACATTAAAAAAAATCAAATCAAATCTACTTATTATTTAAATAGGATTTGTGTCTCCCCTCCCCCCAAAAGACAAATAAGATACTGCTACAACAGTTTCCCTCAAACTCTCAGCCACACCTATCTGAAGGGCTGTATGGAATCTAAACAGCAGGTTGTTTCATCTAGCACTGTTCAAACCAACTTTTTTGAAAGCAGGTATGTTAAATTATATTTGTGAATTAGTTTCATTTCTATTTAGTTTATGTAAGATAAATCTATGTTAGATAAACTAGAACACAGTCCTATTTCCAAGCTTAAAAAGGTAAGCCTGTATGATGGAAAAGGGCATATGAATCTTATATGAAAACTAACAAATAAACAATAAAATTCCTTTACTTATATAAAGTGAATATATTATCCCACCTCGACTCTTTGGGTTTAAACTTAACTCCTCAGCCACTGAGGGAGCAATTATAGTGCTAAACATATGACCAGAGAGTAATCACATTAACCATGTTTTAAAGCAATTTTAACATACATGAAATAAAATCAAATTTCAGCTTTTTCCTGGCCTGTTTATATTTTTAGAGTGAGGCTCATGGAATACCACTCAAGGAACAAGTTTTGTGGAATCCTGGTTTTAAGGTATGCACATACATTCACTGTTTTTTTGTCATCTCTCACAGACCCAACAGTTTACCACAAATTATGGTTTTTAAAAGGCCACAGACCACAGATGGTCTTAGCTGCACTATCTCATGACAGGATCTTGGAAAGTATTATTTTTTATATCAGTGAAGGTTAAACCAGAGATTCTAAGCCAGCGGTTCTCAACCTTTTCATACGGCGACCCCCGGCCACATGGACGCGCCGCGCATGCGCGGCGCCGCCCCCTGAGGGGGAAAAATGGTGGATCGCGTTGTTTGGCGACCCCTGTAAAATGGTCATTCGACCCCAAATGGGGTCGCGACCCATAGATTGAGAACCGCTGTTCTAAGCGTTTCTGGGGAAAGTGCATTGGATTTGACTGAAACCTGGGCCATGCAATAGAGTGGTATAAGGTAAAAAAAGTTTTCATTTCATTTCATTTCATTTGAGTCTGAATTTGCTCCGATTTACTCTGGTGGATACAAAGCTCAGGGTCCTAATCGGTTTCTCTGGAACTCCAGCATCGTACAAAATGTGATACTGGGCCAGTTGTACCAATGAACATTGTCTCCTTCCTTCCCCTTCTTCGTATTTATATAAAACATCATGGTGATAAAAAGAGGAAAGGGGAACGAACATTAACTCAATTTCTAGCAAGACTTCCTTCAGTCAGATTGATTCTTGTGTTCAGAACACAGTTGTCTTGGTAAGACCATGGAACTATGATGGCAGTTGAGAGAAAGCCCTAATTTTACCATTTGCTTTTTCAGTGTTAGCTTCTCTCTCATTTTGAAGGGCTGTGTGTTACTATTTTGTGAGTCACATTAGCTAACCGGCTGCAAGCTGTCTTAATTATTATAAGGAAAGGCCAGTATGTTAATCCGTTCTACTCCTCCTTTAGCCTCTGACAGTGAAATCCACTGCATTCAGGAAAAGGCATTGTCATTCCTTAAGAACACTCCTTCTCAATAACCTGAGTGTATTTTCTAAATTTGGCATTGATGTTTCCCAGTATAGTGGCTACCATTGCTACCCATTATTTCCCCAACTATCAGTTACAAAAACTCATTTAAAACCAGCTTTTAAAAACTGAAAAATCCATCCACCAATTTCTGTAATATTTGACATACTTCATTATCTTAGAAAACTTAATATTTCTGCAAATATCTCATTCTGGTAAAAAAAAAAAAAAGACAGGTATTTGCATTTTCTCCATGATATCCAGTTTGGGCTGGATTTCCATTTTCTAATGGCCACTGGAACTCTAGATGGCAGCAAAGAGGCAGAATTTTCTGCATCGCTTTTCTGCCACCTAGCAGTTTTTATAGCCAGATCTGAACTTAATTTTCCAAATCTTATTATAATTTATATAATTGACTCAGATTGGATCAGGTCATTTTTTGGGGGCTCCACACTGGGCTCCACATCAAAAAGAATTCTTTTGTACACCTGGTGTGTATCCCTCTCTATCAAAATTCCTAATATAATAAATCGGTTGCCTATCTAATTTGCACAATACTGTGAGACTTCCACCCACCAACAGAATATGGCCAGATTGCTTGTCTCTTAATTTCTGCTTGGCCTTGAGGTCCAGCGTTAGAATAATTGCTCTGTTATCTGTCCCTGAATGACTGGCTTTAGAAAACCACCTTCAATAACATAACCAGACTAGAAGTATAGCAAATCTGATTGCCTTGCCTTTTGAAAGCAATGAGACAATCCATTTTGTTCTTTCTTGGCTGCTTTCATATAGGAGATCTAATGCTCTTACTGACCTTCTACCCATCTACTTTCTTGAATAATGTCTTCAACACTTAAAACACCACAGCGGGCACATTCCACTCACTGACCCTTTACGTGCATAAATATTTGGTTTTAAACTTGCATCTGAAAAAGTGCTGAACCGTCCCTTGTCACAATCTTGGCTCTGTCTCCATAAAAATATCAGTGCCATTTTGACTAAGGATGGGTCCCCTAACTCTCACCTTCATATCTTTTCACACACAAACACAATTTATCTTCCTTCTCTAATATCTACACCCCCTCATCCTCCACAGCACGATCCTTGAGCGCAGAATAGAACAATGTAAAAATTCCATAAAGCTGGCAGAACAAATAATGATCAATTTAGCAGAATGTCTTCCTCCCTCGCATTCCTTTGTCCTAAGGGCTTGTCTCAATCCTGCCCCCCACTCATCATTTTTATGCACAAATATTGACTTACCCATACTCTTCACCTTGTATTTTTTTTTCTTTCAAAGAAAATGCAGCATTAATCTTAGATGCTTGTTATTTCACCTTTTTATTATTTGTCATGGCTATATGGATGAAAAAGTTCCATAGGGACATGTATATTGTTATAAAAAATCATGGCCAAGGTTTTCTCCACTATGGGGATCAGTATTTAAGATACACTTACTCATTATGAATAAGACCAGTGAAATATGAGAAGTTTCCTGCAAATCTCATTTCCTGGGTTATAACAGAAGAGCACTTTAATCCAAAACAAACGTGTCTTAAAACTGACCCTCTGTAATCCCATAGCTGACTAGGCTTCAATATTTACATGAGATATTAATTCTGTCCATCACCCAATTAAGGAGGTCATGTGAATAGAGCCTAAAAGAGTACTTGTATTTCATAAAAGAATCCTATTGTTTTATTAACATCAGAAACATACAGTGTCAGTAAGTATACCCTGTTGAAATGTTCAGTAAAAGAATTAATAAATGATTCCCATTTAAAAGTAATCTAACTTTATTAACAACTGAATCTGCAGTTACTTATCAGTCTTAGAACTTAACAACTGAATCTGCAGTTACTTATCAGTCTTAGAACTTCAACATCTTAAATTTAACCTTAATTTGCAGCATCTGAGATGAGATATTCAACAATGATTAAAAATATCAAGTCTCTACTAAGAAGGCTAAGTGAAGATCCTGTAGATATTGCTGGTCCCTACCACTAGCCCAAATCCAATTCAACCTGTCATCAGGAAAGATAAGAACTGTGGTTCAATAATATTTGGAGAGCTATCCCTAATCTTACAAAGAGGAGAGAACACAAAGTCATTCATTTTCATGCTTTTGCATGGATTGCTGGCTAAATGATTAAATGAGAATTATTTTAACAGCTTTGGAATGTCTGAGATACCAAAATGGATCTTAGGCCATAAAGGGCCAAAACATTTGTGCAGACTTGGGTGACAAAAGAGGATTCCCTGAGAACAGTGTCATGTTCACCTAACCTTTGCTCTCCAAATATTTAGGATCACACAGCATGCACCAAGGGCCTTGTTCATTTTGACTGTGGTGCCATTTGCCTTCTCATCTTCAGCTGTCCCTAGTAATTTATCTTCTGGCTGGCTGCATCTTGCCTAGAGCAGAGCAACCAAGGATGTTGTTACCCTGTCATATCCCATCTGTTCAGTTCAACTGAAACTGATTTGCACCCTGCTTAGCATTTCATTTTATGAACGCTTCCAAAATACCAAATGATTTTTTTTTTAGCAAAATGATTTGAAAGATCAGACAAAGTAGAAAATGAAAAACAGAATGAAACACAAATATTTTTACAGGATTTTCAGCTCCTGTTAAATACATCTGTGGGGAAGCCAAAGTAAAACTGATGGACCTAGTTTTGTTCTCTCTCTGAAGCAGTTATCTTGAGATTTTGACTAATGAAAAATTTGGAGAATAGGATAAGGTAGCTTGAAACATTTTACATTTTAAGGGCCGGTCGGCACAATGCAGTTGTTCCAGCACAATCCTAACCATTTTTTTGAGCACAGGAGCCCACATTGTCAAGCTCCATTACACCGGGAGTCAAGCGGTGTCTGAATTTTCCTGCGGTGTGTCAAAAGTTGTGTTTTCTGATTTGTGCTGAGCAAGTGGCACTGCCAGTTTGCATATTGCACTTAATTTCATTATAGGCAGACATCTCCACTCTCATTGACCCTGTGTACTATTGCAGGACTATCCTCTCCCTTCTGGTCATTGCTCATTGGTTTTCACTAATTTTTTTCCTAGGCTGCTGATCTTCTGAAGGGATCTCAATATAATCTGGTTAAATTAGCAAGGCCTCCCTTCCTCCCTTCCTCCAATGGATCAAATGGGAACTAATGGAATGGTACTCATAGAAAAAGTTTAGCAATGGAAATAATATGTCTCTAAAAATCCTCCCACAGATAGAAAAGTGGTTGGTGCTTGAATTTTCAGAATGTTTAGGAGTATTAAGAAGCAGAGCAATTTGCCAGGTGAGACAATACTGTAGTAAAGCTGCAGTCCAGACAGGACACCAGGCCGTCACATTGGCCAGAGTAGAGTAAGAAGTTGAAATCTGGAAAGCAATTTCTTAAAACTGGCTTTATTTATACTTGAATGAAGCACAGGAATCAGGCAGATTAAGGCTGCAATACAGATTCGCAGTCTGGAGTTTCAAATTGTGACAAACTCTCAATATTTGGTTTGGCAATAAAGTTTTCTTAAAGTGTCAGGTAAATTGATCCCATGTTGAACAGCTTGAACAGATCAGAATTGATGTTTTGCTTTCCCCGAAGCCTTTCAGGAGAAAAAAAAAGTGCAATGGGAGTGCTGTTTTATGAGTTCTGCCGAACTACTAAATGATAAAGCAGAGATCTGGATTATAAAAACATGCCCTTCGTTATCAATAAATGCTAATTCTCAGAGTATGGAAAGTAAATCTGACAGACATAAGTTCTTATTACAGCAAGGCAAATAGGACTTCATAGATATAGTGGAGACCTGCTGGACTATACACACAGACAGACACACAAACAGACAGACACAGACATTACATTACATGCAACTCATTCTAGATCTATTGCTATACGATATATATGAAAAGAAGCAATAGATGGAGATGACTTGCACTGAATGTAATTTCCACTTAGAAATCCAGATGTATGAACTTGGTGGTACTGTAGAAAACATTTAGGTTGAAATAAATGAAGGAGCAAGTAAACATACTGTTGTTGGCTTCTCCTAATGCTCCCCAACTAAGGCAAAAGCCTTAATGTTGAAAAAATGCAATAATGTTTTTCCAAAAGCAAGCTGCAGATATTTCAGGCATGGTCTAGTAATAATGGGAGATATCATGATCTTTCCAAGAAATTCTTGATTTCACTTGCTGACCACCTTTATCTACAGGGGAAATGAAAGAAGCTCAAGAAAAGTCTGATAATCTTGAGTTGGTACTAATCTACACAATAGATTTAGTTGAAGGGAAAGCAGCAAAACATACTGGAAGAAAGTAAAAACGAATGTTGGAGTTCTTGATTTTAAAAGAGACTAAAGGCTCTTAGGTATGTATCTTGAATTTTAAGAAAGTAAATTTTGATACATTCTGATACACTGACGTGTAGGATTACATGGCCGGAGAACTTAATAGGAAAAAGAAGCAGGGTTAGTGGCAGTTTCTAAAAAAACAACAAAAAAAGTATTACTAGAAGTAGAATTGACAAAAATTCACAGGGGGCAGGAAAGAGAAAAAAGGAAGATTGTTTTCTTGTGCTCTTGTCCTGAGATACATATTCGAAATGGGAAGGATTTCAAGCTTAATGTAGATAGGCTAGGATGAGAAACAGGCACGACAGGGATTTTAGGAATGTTGGTGGTAGTTTGTTCTCTGAGCTTGTTGGCTAGTTTCCAAATGTTTCATCACCAGGCTAGGAAACATCTTCCCTGGAACCAACTGACTACCTAAGATCTATAAAAACAGACGATAACTGAAATAAGACACTTCAACCAAAGTTTCGCTGATGATGTTACTTATACTGGTGATTAAATGTTCAGAAACTAAACAACAAGCTCAGAGGACAAACCACCCCCCATCTGTACCACCCTAACTACAAATATTTTCCACCATTTCTAATTCTAGGAATGCTCTATGTCAGGGGTAGGCAACCTTGGCTCTTTTATGACTCGTGAACTTCAACTCCCAGAATTCCTGATTCAGCTATGCTATGAGTAGCCAAGGTTGCCTACCCCTGCTCTATGTTGTTATAAGGAAAATTAACCAAATATTGGATGTCTGTCCAGGTTTTTCTCATTTCTTACGTTAAAGTAAATCAAAGTGGAGCTTATTTTGAATTTCCTTCCCATACTTCCCTCTTTTTCAGGAGCTGTGCAATCTTTTCTTCAACCCTTAATGGTTCACTCCTTCCTTCCTAATGGCTTGCTGATTCCTTCCCCAAGGTTAGTTCTACGGATGAAATGGTAGAGATGGTATCAAGGAAACCTCAAACTCAGAATGAGATGAGCTTGGCAAACGATGCTAAGAGCAACAAAAGTAACATTTTCAGGGATGTTCAGAATTAAAGAAAAAGTAAAAAAAAAACCATCCAATTTATTAACTGTGTAACGAAGGTGGAAAGTGCTGACAAGCAACAAAAATGGAAATACTCAATTCCTATTTTACTTCAGTCTTCTCTACCAATGGAGTATGTGCTTCACTAGAACAACTGTAGTGTAATGGTACATCTGTTGGTGGTCTGTCTGAACATTTATGCATTCATTACTATTCAGATCCTGATGTAGTTTTAAAGTGCCAGACAGCTGTAGCAAGCCAAACATTCCTAGCTTCAAAAAGGGGAAGAAAAGAGGATCTGGATCTACAGTCTCTTTAGCTAAAATGGAAAACTTTAGAGAAAAGAACAGTCTTCAAATAAAGAAAAGAGATCCAAGGACCTGGGCAGGTATAATTTAAGAAGAATTAGGTTAACTCTGTCCACGTACCTGAAAAGTAGGTCTATAAGAAGAACAGACTTCAGACAACGGCACACAGCAAATGGAGATAGGTTACAGAAAGGGAAATGTCTATTGCATGTTTAAAAATGTTCTTCACTGTAAGAGCAGATTGATGGTGGAACCAGTTATGAAGGAAGTTGATGGGTTCTTCTTCAGTGGATGCTTTAAGCAGAGGCTACTCAGTCTCATCTTTCTTCTTTGACTTGAATATTCCCAACAGCATAGGACACTTGTACATTATGTTTATCCAGAGATCAGTTCTGATTTGTACTTTTGGACAGAAATGGGACCAAACAGTTGCTCAGATTGGCATTGAAATGCCAAGGATCAATGCCCAGCCTAGTTTTACATAGATTCAAAGTATTATGGATCTGGAAATTAAGAAATCAGAATGCCTTCCTTCATGTTGTAATTGTTTAGGACAAATGTCCAGAAAGCAGTGACGAATCATATGAAGTTAATTTATGGCTCTCAAAATTGTGTCAGGAAGAATGAGATTGTGTACAAAAAGGAGCAGACATAAGGAATGAATCTATGACATTTGCTTTGGCCAGGGAAAAGGATTTCCACATTTGTTCATCTCTTGCACAGACCCAGTGACTCTGGCCTCCTCTTTCTCCCCCTCTGGGTCTTACCCTTCCTTGGCTCATGTAACCCATTATTTCTAACAGAGCGGTTTCCATTGAAATATTTTTAGCTTGTCAAATCTCCAAATGTTGCAAAAATGGGGCTCTTCCAAATGAAATACACAGTATTTATACTAATGCTGACTTTGGATGTTCTGGTTACAAAACTGAGATTTCTAAGTTTTGAAATGGATGCAAAAAGTGTTTCATGGTATAAGCCAGTATCTCTTTAGGCCACCGGTTCCAAATTGTGGTTCTGAGTCTCAGGGAGTTCTGAATTATATGTCATCAAATCCCGCCAAATAAATACCATACAATGTAGCTTGATTTGATTTTGCCTGTGAAATGACATCTCCTTAGCATTCCAAAATCTTTTGTTGGATCCATCCATCCATATTTTATGTGACAATTACCACTGATTGCCTCTTGATCATTAAGAGCCATTGAAAGTAGCAGGAAAGAGCATGGAAACAGTTATCATATGCTTGTCTGTTCAGCCTGCACAATAAACACTTTGGGAAAAGGATCTAGGGAAAAGGGATCACCCATGGAGGCCAAGCAACAAACTATTACACTGAGGAAAATTATTCCTACAGGCAAATGCTTTTTAGAGTAATTAGCAGTATTGGTTTGATACATTTACTGAATAGGTGGAGGATCATGGGGAGAAATTATGACTAAGAAACTTGGGATGGTTGGCATTTGGAAACTAAAACATTTGATTGCTCACTAATGTACTATAGTTACCAACAATTACCAACATTTAATCACAATTTTTCCCAGTTTAGTACTTAATCATGACTAGAAGTAGATATAATAGAAACCATTTTTCTGGACCTCTAGGAATATCTTTTAACTCCCCTGTCTTATATATGAGACCCTTGTAAGTATTGCAAAAATGAACAAAGCTGGTGGTATGCCTGCCTTAAAACTGTAAAATATATTTCACAGAAAGGAACATGGAGATTAGTGGCAGAATGTCAAGGAAAATAAACTCTTTTGATTTAAAATAACAAATAAGCCCTTTGGCCAATACGTCTCAAATAATTTTGAACAGATCCCAACCACCAATTTAAAAGAAAAAAAAGTTATATTCCTGCTTAATTTTATTCTATAGCTAGAGGTTGGAAGTATCAACAATCCATGTGGAAAGATGTTTATATGATAGCAACAGTTCTTATTATATCCCAGCAATTCAAAACCACAAGATTCATAAACTGCATTCTAAAAATATAGCAAGTGCTTTGTGCCAAAACTTTTTCAGTTTGTTCAAGCAGGTTCATGCTCTGGGAACGGTACTAGGAGTGCAGGATAGAATTGAAAAGATTCTTCTGCTATGGCTCATTATGAAGAATTCTGTAAAACCACAAGCATAGTCATGTTCAACATGTTAAAGGCTTCACTAAAGTGGGAAAAGAGTTAGACGCTGAAGATAAATGGATATTTCAAAGTCTGAGCAAATGACTCAGGAACTTGGAATGACTTCTACCATGATTATATAGAAAATCAGTGAAACAGACCATCTTCGGCCTCTTCATACATAGTAATGTTGTATGTATGAACAGACAATGAACATTGCCAGCAACTGGATGGCAACAATCAAAGGTAATGCAAGGAGCATCTTGAAAATCAAGGACAAGGAACTCTCGATTTAGGAAATCCTGAGAATTGGAAAACCTGAGCACCAGCTTTCTTTGTGCATAATTTTCTGAGCTGCTTGAGCTGAAGGCATAGAACAAAGAGCTAAGCAAAAAAGTCACCAAAATGCTGTCTACTGCAGAGGTCCCCAATCTTTTAAGCACCAGGGGCTGGTTCCTTGGAGAGCATTTGTTCTGTGGACCGGAAGGGGCGTGGTTTCATGTACTGTCTGCATCCTGCGGATGGGGCTTGTTTGCGCGGACTGGATTCTGGCATGCCACGACCTGGTGCTAGTCCATGGCCTGGGGATTGGGGATCCCTGGTCTACCGAGATTCTTAATCATTCAGGTTATGGTTATCTCAAAGATGCTTTTTCAAAAAGGGAACTGGACTTTCTTGTTTTTTTTTTCCTTGAAAACATTTCACTTCTCATCCAAGAAGCTTCTCCAGTTCCAGAGAACTGGACAGTTCAGAGAATTGGAGAAGCTTCTTGTATGAGAAGTGAAACATTTTCAAGGAAAAAGAACCAAAAAATTCCAGTTGCCTTTTGGAAATGCACCTTTGGGTCACCAAAATGCTATTCCATAAAAGATAAAACTACAATAGTAAAGGATTATCTAAGGCCCAAGTCTTCACTGTAAATGAAAGAAAAAAATGATCAACCAGGTTTAACTTTTGTTATTACTGTGATTATTTTTTATTTGCAAATTCGTTCTATCTTCTCCTCTCTCATCCCTGCATTGCTCTTAGCAGCAATAGATTCTCTCTTCTTTTTTCCTCTCATCATTTCATTCTTTCTTCTTTCTCTCATTTCTGTGTTATTCTTAGCAGCAATAGATAAATCCAGTTTAAAACGTGTACCATTCTTATTAAGAAATAACAGTTATTCACTTAATGTTTTCACAGAAAGAAAGTTGAAGAAAGTATGCTGGGAGTATTCTGCAAGTCATGTCCTAACTCTAAGAAGAACACATAGATGGGATTAGGATATTATAGGTTAAAAGCCAATCCCATCTCCAAATAAATGATTTGGATTTTATTGTATATTCGTGTTATAGCTTCTGCTTGATTTTGTTTATTTGTTGTTTTCTTGACCATTTTATTGCTCAGATCCATGATTAGGTGCAAGAGACTTATAACAGCAAGAAGTAAATATAACCAGCAAAACCATTTTGGATTAAAATTATGAACTGTTCCAGGAGAAACTAAAATGCTAGCTAGTGAGCTTTATACCAGGTGTCAACTCTGATTACCATTCTAAATCCCCATCTGGCAAATAACTTGGATTCAGAAGAATTTGACTTGGATTCCTTTGCCTGTTGGAAACAAGGGCAGAGTCAAAACCCACTGAGAAGGCATCCATTGAAATGTATAGATAGTAAACTGCCTTGGTTGCTTTGATCCCCATATTTACCTTTATCCTTCCTTCTGAGAAGTATATTGCTCTAATTTCTTAGCTGGAAAAGAAATTTTGACCAGATACCATCAGTTCAAGAGAAACAAATTTTTCTAAATCTGGTTCTGTAATTACAAAATACTAATTTAGTAGGTCTTGGATAATGCAGAGATTATGGGGAAGAGAACCATATCCTTACATCATTCATCACTGCAGCCACAAACATAAACCGGTAAAATCAAACTCCATAGCTATTGTTTTGAATTGATGGGTAATACTGGATTCCATCTTGATAAAGCATTGCAGAAACACTTGTGTAAAGGATCATGCTCTGTTAACTGCCACTAATGTAAAAAATTAGTATGTTGTGGAGCCATTGATGTTAGATTGTTTGCTTGCAAGCATTTCATCACCCAACTAGGTAACATCATCAGTGCTTGGGATTTGCTCTCTGTTTATATACAGTAACTTGCCTTGCCATTGTTGGTGGGGGTGTGGTTTTTTCCCCTTGTTAATGTCTTAATTAGGGTATTGTTTTCAGCTTGCAGGAACTACTAGAGAGAAAACCACACCTCAACCAACACTGGCAGGAAAAGTGTTGGTGGGCTGTATATAAATGAAGCAAATCCCACACTTACTAGCACTGATAATGTTATCTAATCAGGTAACGAAATGTCTGTAAGCAAACAATCAAGATCAGAGAGCACCAAGCACTCCACAGTTCAATCCTGGGCTATATATAATGTCTTCTGCTGAATCGTAGCATGCATAAAGTACCCAATACTGCTTTCGTGCCATTTTCTTCTACGATTTCTGTGCTATTTGCCAATGCAAAACAACATTCTGGAACTTAACACAAGGAACTGACATGAGAGTCTTTTGGACTTGCTATTCTATAGTAGAACTGAACAAAGTCCCCTTTGATATAGCTACTGACCTCCTGATATATTGTTTTAATGCAACTTCTGCGATAGGAGGAGGAAATACTAATAAATTATTGAAAAATAATCATATTAAACTCATTTTAATTAAATGTAAGTGTAAGTGTAAATGCAATCTAACTTAGTATTTATCCTGGCTGCAAGATGCTGTCCCAGGAAGATATTAAAAAGCCAAGTATGGCTCTCAACTAAGGAAAAGTTATATAACACTGTTTTATGACAAAGGTTTCTTTCTTTTTTATTTATTTATTTATTAATATTTTCCTTTATACCAGCGGTTCTCAACCTGTGGGTCGCGACCCCATTTGGGGTCGAACGACCATTTCACGGAGGTCGCCAAACAACGCGATCCGCCATTTTTTCCGCCATTTTTTCCCCCTTTTCCTTAGCTCTGCTACTCCCTCTTATTCTATTGGCTTTCAAAAGCCAATAGAATAGACTCTCTTGAACAGAGTCTAATTCTATTGGCTTTCAAAAGCCAATAGGAATTGTCCAGGGCTGTCTCTGCCCTGCTGAGCCCACCCAAAGCCCCACTCTGCAAATGGTGCTGCAAGGGGAACAGTCTGCAGAGCTTTCCTCCCTGCTGAGCAACTAAAAAGTAAGTAAAAGAGGGCCGGGGTGGGAGGTGGGAGGCCGGTGGGCGCAGGGAGGGTTGCTGGCATGCGTGGGGCCCGGCAGGTGCCTTACCTGCCTTGGGCTGGGCCAGCTGGTGGCCCAGCCGGTGGTCGCCCTGCGCCGCCGCTGCCGTGGCCGCCCGGGAGCACCTGCCGCTGCCCCGAACGGCCGGCGGCCACGGTAAGCCTAGCAGGGCAGCGGTGGGCACAGGGAGGGTTGCTGGCACGCATGGGGGTGCCTTACCTGCCTAGGGGTGGGCCAGCTGGTGGCCCAGCCGGTGGTCGCCCTGCGCCGCCGCTGCTGCGACCGCCCGGGAGCACCTGCCACCGCCCTGAACGGCCGGCGGCTAAGGTAAGCCTAGCAGGGCAGCGGTGGGCACAGGGAGGGTTGCTGGCACGCATGGGGGTGCCTTACCTGCCTAGGGGTGGGCCAGCTGGTGGCCCAGCCGGTGATCGCCCTGCCTGCCGCGGCCGCCCGGGAGCGTCCGGGCCTGCCTGTCGCCACCCCTTGCCGGCTATGCCTCAGCCGGCACAGGGGGTGGCACCGCGCATGCACGGTGCACCACGCATGCGCGGCGCGTGCTTACGACCGGGGTCACCGATATAAAAAGGTTGAGAACCACTGCTTTATACAGTACATACTATGCCATTTTTATATACTATGGATCTACATTCTATACAATATATACACTATGTACTATGTACATTCAATCTAACCCACAATAACCTAATTTGCACAATAACCTTATGTATACCGTATTTCCAATTTTTGTTTCTATTGTCCAAATATACCAATTTTCCCAAACTGCATAAAATTCTGAATCATCTTTTTCTTTTAATTCTAAGGTGAGTTTGTCCATCTCGGCACATTCATAAATTTTCTGAATAATCAACCCCTCTAGTGGTATATTGTGTTCCTCCCAATATTGCGCGAATGCAATTCTTGCCGCAGTTAGTATATGTAAAATCAGATATGTTATTTTCTTATCAAATTTATTTTTAAGTATTCCCAGGAGAAATGTTTCTGGATTTAATTCAATTTGACATTTTGTTAAGTCTTGTAGCCACCCTTGTATTTTAATCCAATATTTTTTCGCTTCAGGGCATAGCCACCAAGCATGAAAGAAGGTACCTTGACGATAGTTACATTTCCAACAATTTGGGCTTTGGTTCGGATACATTTTGGCTAATCTTGCAGGGGTTAGGTGCCAATGGTATAGCATTTTATATTGATTTTCCTTGTATGCAGTGGATTTTGTTATTTTGTGATTTTTATTCCAAATTATTTCCCAATCTTCTAATTCTATATTGTGCCCTATGTTTTTTGCCCATGCAATCATTGGTTCTTTCACTATCTCCTCTACTCTATCGAATTCTAATAAATAGTTATATATTTTGGATATTAATTTTCCTTCAGGGCCTATCAATAATTTGTCTAATTGTTTTAATTCCATGTCAATTCCATAATCTTCCACATCCTTATATCTAGATTGCAATTGTAAGTATGGCCACCAATCAATAGTTATTCCCTGTTCTTTTAGTAACTGACTATTTTTGAGCTTCCCCTGTTTGTCTAAAATTTCTGAATATCTGGGCATTTTGCTTATATCCAACGTGTTAGGGTGGATCATTGCCTCCAGGTTTCTTGTCCTTGGGATTGCAGGCTTTCTCTAGAGTTCCTATATATTCTTTCCTAAAATATAGAAAAAAATGCTTGCAAAAATAAATTTCTTACACCCAGTCTGCTTCTTTGGTATCTGTTACACACCTCTGGCACATATCTATGGACTGTCTCATGCCAGACACATAATAATGTTTTATCGGTATGTTTGACCTAGTATTAATTTAAGTTGGGTACAGTGAAATGCCCTGCAAGGAAAGCAAAGCAAGCAAGTTGTTATTTTCAGGTCTAAGCATATCTAGCTTAACCAAATGTAATATTAATGCGCAGAAAATAATCTGGCTGCTGAAGTGGAGGCTGAGTGGGCAGACTTGACAGAAAAAGTGTGGTGAATTGTAGGGTTAACAAAATAATCATCTTATTGTACTGTCGCACTCTTGAGGGAAATTATAGATCTAGTGGCAGCTGAGGGAGATAACAGGTAACAACTGAATGCATTATACATTAGTGGCATTAGAGAACAGGGAAAGGAAACATCCATCCATCCCAGCATGAAAGCAGTCCTTTAAAAGAAGAGCTTTAGCTGGAGTGAAAAAGATTCACTGTGTATCTGGGAGTGAGTGAATGCTTTCAAGAAGTAGCCTCAGCTCTAGTGTTTTATCTTCTATGCAGGTACAAAATATGAGGCCATCTAAACTAGAAGCTTTCCAGTATTATTGAAATCTGATGATAATGGAAAACCATGGATTATTAGGCAATGTGATTTCTTCTGAATGGAAATAGAATAGAATAGAATAGAATAGAATTCTTTATTGGCCAATTGTGATTGGACACACAAGGAATTTGTCTCTGGTGAATAAGCTCTCAGTGTACATGCAGGCAACAAGTGATAAATCATGATTATAATCATAAATTATAAGTGATGATCATGATTATAACTAATTATAATTATAACTAAGGCTGATTATCAGCAGACAGCCAGAACGTGCAAAGATGAAGTCAGGAAAGCACAGGCTCAGAATGAACAAAGACTTGCAACAGAAATCAAGGACAATAAAAAAGTTTCTGTCAACATATTAATAACAAGAAAAAAGTCAAAGATACTGTAGTTCCACCAAAGAGAGAAGATGGCAAGGAGGTAACAGGTAGTAGGGAGAAAGCAAAGCTGTTTAACTCATTCTTTGCATCAGTTTTCACACAAAAGAAATTATAACCCAAAATACCCCCCCAAAAAAAACCTACTGCAAAAGACAAACTAGAAACAAAAATTAAAATAAGCAAGAAAATGGTAAGAAACCATCTATCTGACCTTGACGAATATAAATCACAGGGACCCAACAGATTACATCCCAGAGTTATGAATGAGCTGGCAGATGTTATCTCAAAACCATTGCCCATATCTTTCAAAAATCCTGGGGCACCAGGGAAGTACCTGAGGACTGGAAAAGGG